TCATCTTACATATTAGTTAAGAACTTTCCTGCTAGAATTTAAAATATTACCCTTTAGATAATGCAACAGAAACCTTAAAAATATTTATAATTTTTATTATTTTTAAATAAAATGTAGATAAACCATATTAAAGACAAACATACCTAGAAATGACATACTTTGAAATGTTAATTCTTTTCTAAGAACACCTGACTATTATATTAGCTAAATATAATAGTAGTCAACATTATCATAGCTCCTTCTTTCCAAAATAATGTAAGTATTGCAATGAAGTACCAGCAACTGTGATAAACTTCAGTGCACTGCATACAAAACTTTGCAGAACTTCAGGTGGAAACACTTAGACATGTTAAAATAACAGTCTGAAACTACTGAAACAAAATGGGGATGAACACATAATAATTTCAGGTAAATCCATGGAAACATGAATTTTCATGAAATCTGTGAACAATATATATTTTTATTCCTTATGTCTATGCTTACTACTTATTTCTCATGACTTTCAAAACCTTTATCTTCCAATTTTTAAGGTTTGGGTTTATTTTTGGTGCAAATTTAATATTAATTACATCCATTATTCATAGATATTTCCCTCTACTATGCAGAATACCTGATATACATTGAGAAAGGTATCAGAAATAAAAAGTACTTAGGCTCTGGAAATCAATACACATTGTATGATTTTCATAAATGTCTCAGTTAAGCATAAAAAAACATGCAAAGAAACTTAACCTACCATGGAGAGAGCTATACAAAAAAGATGAGAGAAAAATGTATACTTTCAATATAAGTATGATGGTTCTTGTAAGCTACTACAGCATCTGATGATGTCAGAATGTGAGAATAAAGAAAACTATATTTGGTACATGCTTTAATGAAGCTTATGTGTAGTATGTGACATGTTAAAGAAAAGGTACTTGATAAACACAGGTTTATTTCCTGTTTTTTTTTTCCTATTAGCAAGCTTTTCAGGTAACATAGAAGTGCATGGGTAATGCAGGGGGGTCAAGACCACAGGATGATCCAGCAATTTGTTACATAAGAGTGTAAGTTGATGGTTATGAAGAAAGCATTAGCGATATGTCAGGCAGGGACCGCATCTGTGAGCTGGAGTCAGTTAACTGAGCAACAATATAACATCGAAGGAATGATGGCATGGGCAGCACCAGGCAGTATTAATGCTAGAATAGTTCTGCAATTTTGTCTTCTAATTCCTTGCTAAGGGGGAAGTAGAATGTGTATTTATGCGTATATTAGCATTTTAATGACATCACCAATGGTTTGTTTCTCCTTCTCAGTGTCAAAGATTAAATTTGCTTGCTACGTACACTGACCATGGCCCAACATCTGCTCTTAACTTTCCAGCAAACTTTGGCAATTGAGGGCACTGACCTAGTCTGAACACTCAGATGCTCTTTACATTGCTATAAGCAAGCTTTTAAGGAGCTTGATCACTCTGGACTGCAAATCAATTCAAAAGAAGGGTGGAAGATGTTGAAGACTGGAGTATTAGAGGTCGGAGTAATTTAACAGAGGTGCTTTTTAGAAAAGTTGCTGTCATTCAGACAACAGCATTTGAGGAGCTACTAACACTCACAGGTCATTAATCCAGCACACAGGTTCACCTACTAGAGCCTCTCTACACTGCTCCAGGTAATATTTCAGTTGCCAGCTGGATGCCAGTATTGCTCTGAAAGATTTGCATTTTCCTACCATGCTAATTTGTCACACAGTGAGCTTTCCTTTCAGTCAGCTGTCTAAAAAAAAATCTTGCTAGTAGGGGGAAGTTGTGACATTCATGTGCTTTGGATGAGGGAAAGAGTATCACTAAAATATATACAAATTTAAAGCATCAGATTGTCAGGCTTTAGGACTGGTTTTAATCTTGTTACAGGCAGCTAAATCTGGTTACACACTTTGTAACTTCAGGCAACTTTATGATAGTTGTAATTTAAAAGTTGTAATAAAAAGCCTATAGAGACAGAGGTAAATAGGCAGTGTCAGCAGGTGAATCAGACCTCTAGAATTCTCTATACTCTGCTGCAGGTTTAAGGAAGGTAGGCAAGGACAGTCCTTACCAAGGCACATTATGTTATTCCCAGACGTAATGAGTGATGAGTGTCTGGTAATTAGTTACCACTGTGGGTAAGCCATGACATTGTGCCACATTGTATTTGTGGGGGGAAAAAGTAGCCCTATCTTTTCACATCTTTCTCAGTTTCTGTGAAAATTTGAAAGATGAAAGGGAAAGAAAAGACTTATTAGTAATATACATAACTTTTAATCTTCTGGTTTTGAGTATCCAATACATTTGTCTTTAAAAGGTATTCTAGTATTCCTCCAGTCTGCTTCATATCATCTGACTTTTCATGAATGTCATCTGCCTGGTTCTGGATTGTGTATGAAATATGCCTATTAATATGGCATTTGACAAATGTACATTACCTTCACACACAACTTCCTCTTCACATAGTATATGACTGTATATGGCAAACACCACATCTTATACTTCTGAAAGCTTGTCTTATGAAAGAAAGGCTGAAGTAAAGAAAACATTGATTATTTTAGCTTTCACCATGTCATGTTCCAGTTGGTCCCTTCCCCCTTCAGCAGCTGGCTATCATTTTCACTAATTTTAATTTTGTTGCTGCTGTAGCTTTAGAAGCTCACCTTGTTGACCTTCACATCTCCCAGCAGGGTTAAGTCCAGATTGGCTTTGGCTTCCCTAACCCCATCCCTTCATCATCAGAGAATATCTTTATACTCCTCTAGGATTGTATGTCCCTGCTTGCATATCCTGCGTGCTTCCTTTTTATGTTTCAGCTTAATCAGGAGCTCCTTGCTCACCCATGCAGTCCTTCTGACACTTTTCTTTTTCTTGCTACACATTGAATTGGACAGTTCTTAAGCATGGAAAAAATGATCCTTGAAAATCAACCATCTCTCCAGGATACCTTGGCACTCTCACCTTATTGAATATTGTGACTAGCATCTTCCATAGGCTTAGGAAGACTAACTCAGCACAACTGTCATATATCAGCTATTTTGGGTTACAAGTCTAAAAAAATACAAGCAATCATCAACACTTACTCTGATAAGTCTATCATCATCCAGCTTCCACCATCATAAATTACACATCTCTTTTTCTAGGAGAAATGATTATGAAGTTGCTTTTATGTTTGTTTTTCTGTGCATTCTTTGGTTCCTTTGTTTCTATTAATAATTACATTGTTTCTTAAAGTGTGTTCTGTTCTCCAGCTTCCGGAAATACCATAATGAAAAATACTTAATTTGTGGACTTATACGTCCCAAACTGAGAGGATAGAGCATCCTCCACTTAGAAAATACAAAAGGAAACTTTCAAATTATATTTTTTGCCCCTTGTTGTGACCTTGAGAACATAATATATCGGAAATATGTTGCTTACTATAAAAGACTCTCCTGTCTGAGCAGCTAGTGCATTAAAACCTTTACTTTCTTCTGATGTCACTCCCTGATTCAAGGCCAAGGTCCAGTGACCTTGCAGGCTTACGATTTGTCTGTTCTAACTTTTTTCATTTGCATTGCTGAGGAAGACGGGGCTTCTCAGTTCCCTGTTTTCTAGTCACACACTCCCAGTGTACCCTGGCTAACACTAGGGCTAGGCATCTCTTTCAGATGGTGTGAAAGTTTGCCTCAGGCAAAGTACTCTTTTGATTCACAGGATATAACCTGTAGTGTTTCCCTCTCCATTTCCATCAGAGTTATACAAATCCTTCTGATCAACCACAGAGCTTTCAGTGAATCCACAAGAAGAGTGAAATCAAGTTATTTGGCTTTTACCTTTTTATTTGCTAGCACTATTAATAGACTATAGAACAGCCTTATCTCATGGTATTCCAATCCTAGAGGGTCCTTCCTCTCTCTCTTTTTCTAATGCAGTAAGTTTGCATGTTTGTCAAGTTTTGGGAAAATCAAATTCAAGAGCAGAGGAATTTGGGAGTAAAGCACCAACAGGAATCATAGTAAGGGCCTCTTATACCTTTAAGAATGTAATTTTAAGGCAGATGGAGAGATGGAGAGATTTGGAAAAGCATGTTGTGCATCATTTTTTTGATTGATTTTTTTTTCCCAATTACATGAATAACACAGCTAATTCTGTTTAAAGTTCTGTATTTACAACCTGGATTTTTTTGTTCGTTTGTTTTGCTGGTTTTTTCAAGTTTTTGGGGGGCTGGGGTTTTTTGTAATTTTTTTTTTTTTTTGTAAAATCCATTGTAAACCTTATTATTATAAATGTTAAAATATTTCTGTTAAAACTTTTCTACAAGTCTCTCTACCAGTATGCTGATTTATATGTCAAAACTATATTTTTCTAATGATTATGCTCCTTTTCTTTAAATGTAGTAGTTCTCTGAGAGAGAATATTTAAAATAATATAAGAAAGTGTGCCACTTATAAATCAGCAATGATAAAGCCTGCATAAATTATAGGCATTAAATCCAAAACACTCTCTTTTGGCGAACTACATCAACACTGTGGGACAATCAGGATAGGGGGACCAGAGGGGCCAATGGGGCATCCTGGATTAGGGGATTTCCAAGTGGGTGTTTCAATCAGGGATTGGCCCAGGGGCTGAGCGGCAGGGAACATTGAGGAAAAAGTGGCAGGGTTGCCTGGACAGGCAGGGAAGGGATTGGGACGAAGGGAGGGAAATAACTTGAGGGACACCTTTAAAGGGAGTGTACAACTTAGGGAAAAAAACAACTTGGGGAAAACATGGGAGGATAACAAAATGAACCATCTAACAATAACTTAATGAAACAAACATAAACCACAACAGGTTCCTGTCTGCTCCTGTCTGCTGTTGGGGTGCCGGGAGTGGCCCTTTGTGACACGGGCACATGGTGTCATGGCCCTTTGAGATGTGGGATGTGGTGGTGGCCAGAGACCCTTGTGACATCAGGGAGCCCCACCCGGGCTGAGGGGTTCCAAGGGGCACAAAGCCCTGGGTTGCCCAGTCCCAGGAGAGCCGCTCTCTGAGGAGGAAGCAGCTCCCTGGTTCTGTCTGCACCAGACGCTGATAGTGACAGCTATTGCAGCTACCAACAGCGCCAGACAGCGACAGAAACGAGGAGAAGACCAACTCCAACTCCCAGTCCCACAGCACCTTGCCCAGCTGGCTGGAAGCCACCAGCGAGCAGTGGTCAGGGGCAGTGGGCAGCTCAGTCCTGCCACTGTCAGAGACTGAGGAGGAGGAGAGGCTCTTTGCCAAAATGGACCGAGAGCTTTCCCAGTGGGAAGATGTGCAAGAGACCTGCCAGAGAGAAGTTCCGGGGGTCCAAGAAATGTCCCAGCGCGGAGCCAGGAGCAGCCAAGAGCTGTACCAAGGCCAGGTACGTGTGAGAGTTTGGGAAGTTTCCTAGTACAAAGTTGGGACACACCAAGAGCTCTATGAATGGGAAGAAACCATCAGAGCTCAGGAGCTGTCCCAGTGGGAGGAGGACAGTGAGATGTACCAAGAGGTGTGCTAGAGGGAAGAACGTGTGACAACCCAAGAGATTTGCCAATAGGAAATAGATGTGAGTGGGCATCAGGAGATGGGATGGGGAGAAGACGAGAGATGGCACAAGCTGTCCCTGCAGAGAGATGGGAGTGTGCCAGAGGATTCCCAATGGTATGATGCCCAATAGCGTTCCCAGAGGGAAGGTGAGAGGTAGGAAGACCTCTCAGCAAGGGGACAAGATGTGCACTCCCACATGTCCCAGTGGGAAGACAGGAGAGAGCTGGAATTGTCCCAAGTGAGAGACAGCAGCGGCAAGGAGCTGTGCCAAGGAGCAGACACTGCAGCCCAAGAGCTGCCTCGGTGGGGCGATGTGAGTGAGCGAAAGCTGTCCCAAAGGGAGGAAGATGTGAGCAGGCAGGAGCTGTTCCAATGGGGACACAACGTCAGCTCTGAGATCTGGGACAGACCCTTGTGCCCAATGAGGGACGAGGAGCCTCAGCCTTGTCCCCCAGAGGAGCCCAGCTCTGCCAGCCCCGTGGGCACAGAGTTGGCAGCAGAGGCAGTGCTTGCCCTAAGTAGCGCCTCTCCTTCCCTACAGAGTCCCACGGAGGCCGAGCCGGCAGCTGCTGCCTGGGCTGGAGCTGCTGAGGAGGAGGAGAAGCCCCCTGAGCCTCTTGTTCCTGAGGCAGAGAAGGCAGTGGAGCCTCCTGCCCTCAGGGAGGGGCTGCCATCAGCAGGGACACAGAGCCCGGTCCCTGCCCCTCGCAGCCCCCCAGGCTGCAGCCAGGCTCTGCTGGACTTGGCATGGAGCATCAGCTGTGACATCCTGAGCCAGGCACTGCTGCACATCCAGGAATGCAGGGAGCAGCTGGCGGAACAGAGGCGCCTAGGAGGAACTGAGGATCCAGCAGTGGCAGCAAGAGGCACAGCAGAGAGGGAAGAGAGCCCAGTCCCTGACCCTCGCAGCCCCCCAGGTTGCAGCCAGGCTCTGCTGGACTTGGCGTGGAGCATCAGCTGTGAAGTCCTGAGCCAGGCACTTCTGCACATCCAGGAACGCAGGGAGCAGCAGGAGGAACAGAGGCACCTAGGAGAAACTGAGGATCCAGCAGTAGCAGCAAAAGGCACGGCAGAGAGGGAAGAGAGCCCGGTCCCTGCCCCTCGCAGACCCCCAGGCTGCAGCCAGGCTCTGCTGGACTTGGCGTGGAGCATCAGCTGTGACATCCTGAGCCAGGCACTGCTGCACATCCAGGGATGCAGGCAGCAGCTGGAGGAACAGAGGCGCCTAGGAGAAACTGAGGATCCAGCAGTGGCAGCAAGATGCACAGCAGAGAGGGAAGAGAGCACGGTCCGTGACCCTCGCAGCCCCCCAGGCTGCAGCCAGGCTCTGCTGGAATTGGCGTGGAGCATCAGCTGTGAAGTCCTGAGCCACGCACTTCTGCACATCCAGGAATGCAGGGAGCAGCAGGAGGAACAGAGGTGCCTAGGAGAAACTGAGGATCCAGCAGTAGCAGCAAAAGGCACAGCAGAGAGGGAAGAGAGCCTGGTCCCTGACCCTCGCAGACCCCCAGGCTGCAGCCAGGCTCTGCTGAACTTGGCGTGGAGCATCAGCTGTGATGTCCTGAGCCAGGCACTTCTGCACATCCAGGAATGCAGGGAGCAGCAGGAGGAACAGAGGTGCCTAGGAGAAACTGAGGATCCAGCAGTGGCAGCAAGAGGCACAGCAGAGAGGGAAGAGAGCCCGGTGCCTGCCCCGTACAGCCCCCCCGGCCCCTCATCTGCCCTGCTGGGAGTCCCGGTCCCCAGGGAGGAGCCGGGGTGGGCAGTGGCGGCGCTGACAGGGTCAGTGCTGGCACAAGACAGCCTGGAGACCTTGGCTTGGGACAGTGACTGGTCATCTGACAGTGAGGATGAGGAAGAAGAAGTAGAGCCAGAGCTGTCCCAGGGGACAGACTCTCTTGTCCAAGAGCTGTCCCAGGAAGACGATGTGAACCCCAGCTCCGGGGAGAAGCCTGTGGACCCAGTGAAGGAGGGGGACACCCAGCCTTCTCCCCCAGAGGGGCCCAGCTCTTCCAGCCCTGTGGGCACAGAAGTGGCAGCAGAGGCAGCCCCTGCCCTGCCCGGCACCTCTCCTGCCCCTGGCAGTCCCATGGAGGCCAAGCTGGCAGCTGCTGCCCCGGCTGGAGCTGCTGAGGAGGCAGCAGCGGGGTCAGTGCCGGCAGTGCGGGAGAGAATGGACGACTCCGATGAGGAAAACAAATTTTGGACATTCTTGGATGACCTGGAGCCTTTCCTTGTTGGAGACCCTGAGCTCTTCCAGGAAGCATCCTACTGTGAAGAATGCGCAGAGGAAGATCTGCCCCATGGGGAATGTGAGAAAGTCATGAGCAGCCACCAACTCTCTGACCGGGAAGAATATTTGGAGCAAGACTTGTCCCAGGGAGAAGTCAGCAGCCTCCAAGACCCCTCAGACTGGGACGAACACACAGAGCAAATTCTGTCCAGAGAAGATGTCATCAGCTGTGTTGAACTGTCTGACTGGGAAGAATATGTTGGCCAAAACGTGTCCAGAGGGAATGGCAGCAGACCCTCAGGACACTCCAGCTGGGAAAATGACAGTGACACAGGGCTCATGCAGGAGAACTGGCCCGAGCACGTCATCTTGGCCAAGCCCTTGTGCCCAGAGGATGATGAGTGGGACGATGGTGTGAGCCTCCTTGAGCTGCCCCCAGAAGACAACAACGACCAGAAATTGAAAGTTTTTGGGGCAGACTGGCTCCCAGTGCCTTTCCCTCGGGAGGTCTGGGTTGAGTGCCCGGCACAGGAGCCGTGCAGCCAAGGGCCGGCGCCTGCCCCGCACAGCTCCCCCAGCCCCTGGCCTGCCCGGCTGGGAGCCCAGGCCCTCCGCGGGCAGCCAGCTGCCCCCAGGAAACGTCCCTCTCGCTTCAGGCGGGTGCTGCAGGCACTGCGGGGGCTGTTCCGCTGGCCCCGCCTCAGACCACGGCCTGAGGAATAAAAGAGACAAGGAAAAAGATGAAGGACATGAAGGCAAAGAAGGTGAAGAAGAGGAAGAAGATGAAGATGACAGCAAGGAGGAAGAAGACAAAGATGCAGACTAAAAAGACAAGACAAGAATGTTTATTTAAGAATAGATTGAAGAAGTATAGTAATAAGAATTTAGAAATACTTAGAAGAAGAAGAGTACTAGGAATAGGAATAAGAATTTCAAAATTTGTAGAAGAATAAGAAAAAGAAGAATAGGAATAAGAATATAAAAATACATAGAAGTAGTAAAGAAGAAGATAAAGAGTAAGAAAGAGTAGGAAGAAGAAGAGCCATAAGAAGAATAAGAATAGAAAAATGAATAGAAAATTGAAGGAATAAGTAAAACTAGCAAATAAATTTTTTTTATTACGTATTGTATATTTCTATTGCAGTCTATGAAATAAAAACGTTAATGTGCAATATGTTGTAATTACAATACATTATAATGTCCCCACACTGTTCCCGTTATTGAAGAATCTGTGTGTTTTCTAATGAAGTTTGTAAGGCACAAGAGCAGAGCGCCCAGATTGCGTGTCCTGTCTCTCCGAGGTGCCGATGTATTGTCCCAGCCCGAGCCACGGAGCGCCCCGCGAGCAGCGCGGGCTCAGCCCCAGCGGCAGCGGGAGAGTTCCCGGCCGGGCCGGCGGGGCAGGGCTGTCGCTGCTCTCTGCAGGCAAACGGGAGGCGCAGGCTGAGCCCGGCTGGCAGAGAGCTGTGCCGGGCAGCCCTTTGCAGCAGGGCTGTGCAGCCAACAGAGCCAAGCCACCAGAGCCCGGCTCTGCCGCTGCCCGTGGCCGGGGAGCCGGGCTGGGGGTGTTCCTGCAGCCCTGCCTGCCTCCAGCAGCCCTGGGCCGGGCGGGAGGGGTTCCCCCGCTGCAGCCCCAGCTGAGACAGCAGCAGCAGCTCTGTGCTGCTCCTGACACATCCCTGCGGCAGCAGCTGCACGGGGCTGTGCAGCCACAGAGCCCAAAGCAGCTCTGGGGCTCTGCTGCTGCTGCTGGGCAGCCCCACAGGGCTCAGGGCTGAGCAGCCGTGCCTGGAGCCCGTTCCTGGCACCTCCAGCCTCGGGGATGCTCCTCTGCTGCTCCAGGGCAGGGCCTTTCTCCGGGACTGTTTTTTCTTTCTGCTGGGAGAACTCTCACAGAACCCCAGAATCCCTGGGTCTGGAAAAGCCCTTCCAGCCCATGGAGTCCCAGCAGGGCCCCATGCACACCTTGTCCCCAGCCCAGAGCACTCAGTGCAACCTCCAGGGGACACCTGCAGGGATGGGCACTCCAAAGCTCCCTGGGCAGCCCCTGCCAGGGCCTGAGCACCCTTTCCATGGGGAAATTGCTCCTGCTGTCCAAGCTGAGCCTGCCCTGGTCCAGCCTGAGGCCATTTCCCCTTGTCCCGTCCCTGTTCCCTGGGAGCAGAGCCCGAACCCCCGTCTGTCCCATCCTGTCAGGGGGTACAGAAGGATTGTTCCTTTCCTAGGCCCTCTCCTCATGTTCTCTGCTTTCCAAAACTAAAAAGGAATCACTGAAGGATGACAAATCCCTCAGGAATATTTGGGACTGGATGTTCACTCATTTCTTGTGTCCACAGGTACAACCAAGTATCTCCCTTCTCTCTTGCCCAAAATCCAACAGCAGAGAGTCCCTAGGCTAGCATTCTCTCTGTGGGAGCAGCAGGAGGGAAGTTGGAGGACTTCTGCAGCCTATGAGAGAGGGGAAGGCAGGAATTCTCCTTTCCTTCTCTCTTTTCCACACCAAAGGAGAATCCTTCAATAGGAAAAGGAATTGTTCATGGTGGAGCTGCCCCGTGGGGCTCCAGCCCACAGGAGAGGCCTGCAGGATATCAGGTGTGCTCCCACCTGCAGATCGGCACTTCATAGCTGTGCCAGGAGTGGAAAACTTTGAGAGAAAACAGATTATCCAGAGCTACATTTGATCTGTTTTCTCTCACTCCCCGCACTTGGAGAAGGTTCTGGATAAAGCAGGCAAGGCTGCAGGTTCTTGTGAGTTTGGTAAGATGTTTTCATTGTTTTCTTGATCTTGGGCTTTCTCTTAAGCAATGGTTTGAACCCGGTCGAAATCTGTGGTTGGTACAAGTGTATGTGACCAAGTGGAGCCCTCCAAAAAGGATGTGTCTGTGCAGACCCATTCCTGCCCAGAGTGTTTGACCTTATCAGTGGTATCAGGGGGTGTTGTGGAGAAGGCCTGCCTACGGTGGGAACAAGTGAATGACCTCCTCTTGCTGGTGGCCGAGCTTAGGGAGGAAGTTGAAAGATTAAGGAGTATCAGGGATAGTGAAAGGGAAATAGACTGGTGGAGTTCAGCCCTTACATCTTTAAGGGAGGCCCACCAGGATTCAGAGTCTCACTCTCAGGCAATAGAGGGGCACCTGATAGATGAAGGGGGGTGGAAATGGGTCCCTACTCGGGGAGGTAATAACAAAAATCCCTCCTGCCCCCCATCCCCTAGCCATGTGCCACTTCAGAATAGGTATGAGGCCCTGGATCTAGAGAGCCAGACAGATAATTTAGAAGAACATTATCTGCCCAGTGAGCCTCTCAATTATGACTTGTCTAAAAAATGGATTAACACCTCTAACGTCAAGAAAAAAAGGAAGGGTAATTGTAGTGGGTGATTCTCTTCTGAGGGGGACTGAGGGCGCCGTATGTCGACCAGACCCATCCCACAGAGAGGTCTGCTGCCTCCATGGGGCCCAGGTGCCAAACATCACTGAAGGACTTCCTAGGCTGATTCGGTCCTCTGATTATTACCCACTGCTGAAACAGGCTGGCAGTGATGAAATTGATACGAGGAGTGTCAAGGCAATTAAAAGGGAGTTTAGGACACTGTGTCAAGTGGTTGATAGGACAGGTGTACAGGTAGTGTTTTGTTCAGTCCCTTTGGTGGCAGAGAAAAATGATGAAAGGAATAGGAGAACTCACGTCATTAACAAATGGCTCAAGGGTTGGTGTCATTGGCAAAATTTTGGATTCTTTGATCATGGAGCAACCTTTATGGCACCTGCTCCACGGGAATTAGATGGGATACATCTCTCTGTTAAGGGTAGGAGGTTTTTAGCTCATGAACTGGCAGACCTTATTAAGAGGGCTTTAAACTAGGTCTGAAGGGGGAAGGGGATGCAGCTGGGCTGTCTGGAAGCAGGCCCAAGGATGGTAAGACTGTGTTAGGGGAGAAATCAGTAGCCCAGCTGAGGTGCATGTATGCCAATGCACACAGCATGGGTAACAAACAGGAAGAGCTGGAGGCCATGGTGTAGCAGCAGAGCTATGATGTAGTCGCCATCACAAAAACGTGGTGGGATGACTCACATAGTTGGAGTACTGCACTGGATGGCTACAAGCTCTTCAGAAGAGACGGGAAAGGGAGAAGAGGTGGAGGGGTGGCCCTTTATATTAGGGAGGCTTTGGATGTCATAGGTATTGAAACTAATGATGATGAAGTTGAGTCCTTATGGGTAAGAATTAAGGGGAAGGCCAACAAGGCTGACATCCTACTGGGAGTCTGTTTACGGTCCACCCAACCAGGATGAAGAGGTGGACAACTTATTCTATAAGCAACTAAACAATGTTTCAGGATCATCAGCCCTTGTTCTTGTAGGTGACTTCAACCTACCAGACATCTGCTGGGAACTTAATACAGCAGAAAAACAGCAATCTAGAAAGTTTTTAGAGTGTGTGGAGAATAATTTTTTGTCACAACTGGTGGGCAAGCCCACCAGGGGAGGGACTATGTTAGACTTGTTATTCACAAATGGAGATGGACTGGTGGGAGATGTGGAGGTTGGAGGCCGCTTGGGACACGGTGATCATGAAATTATAGAATTCTCGATAACTGGTGAAATAAGGAGGAATATCAATAAGATCTCTACACTGGACTTCCGGAGGGCAGACTTTGGCCTATTTAAGAGACCCATTCAGAGAGTTCCTTGGGAAGAGGCCTTGAAAACAAAGGAGTCCAGGAGATATGGGTGTGCTTCAAAGCAGAGATCTTGAGGGAACAAGAACAGACTGTTCCTGTGTGCCGAAAGATGAGTCAAAGACGCAAACGTCCAGTCTGGATGAGAAATGAGGTTTTGAAGGAACTTAGAAATAAAAAAAATGTATCATCTCCTTAGGGAGGGACTAATTTCTCATGAAGTATTTAAGGGAGCTGCTAGGGCATGTAGGAAAAAAATTAGGGAGGCCAAAGTTCAGTTTGAACTTAGCTTGGCAACTTCTGTTAAAAGTAATAAAAAAAGTTTTTACAAATATATTAATGGTAAAAGGAAGGGTATAGCCAACCTCGGTTCCTTATTGGATGAGGCAGGCAACCTAGTAACTAAAGCTGAGGAAAAGGTGGAAATACTTAATGCCTTCTTTGCCTCAGTCTTTAGTGGTAAGGCAGCTTGTCCTCAAGACAACTGTCCTCAGGGGTTGATAGGTGGTGCCAGATAGCAGAATGGTCCTCTTGTTATCCAAGAGGAGGCAGTTAGAGAACTACTGGGAAACTTGGATATTTATAAATCAATGGGACCAGAGGGGATCCACCCTAGGGTGATGAGGGAGGTGGCAGATGTGCTTGCGAAGCCGCTCTCCATCATTTATCACGAGTCGTGGCTCACTGGTGAGGTTCCAGATGATTGGAAACTGTCCAGTGTGACACCCATTTACAAAAAAGGTAGGAAGGAGGATCCTGGTAATTACAGGCCAGTTAGCCTGACCTCAGTAACAGGTAAGATAATGGAACAGTTCATACTTAGTGCTATCACACAGCACTTACAAGATGGCCAGGGTATCAGACTCAGTCAGCATGGGTTTACAAAGGGTAGCTCATGTCTGACCAACCTGGTCTCCTTCTATGACCAGGTGACTCATCTGGTAGATGCAGGAGAGGCTGTGGATGTTGTCTATTTAGACTTCAGCAAGGCCTTTGATACTGTTTTCCATAGCATACTCCTGGAAAACCTGCAGCCCAAGGCTTGGACAGGAGCACCCTTCGCTGGGTTAGGAACTGGCTGGATGGCCAGGCCCAGAGAGTGCTGGTGAACAGCACTCCCCCAGATGGGGGCTGGTCAGCAGTGGTGTCCCTCAAGGGTCTGTGCTGGGACCAGTTCTATTTAATATTTTTATAGATGACATGGACAAGGGCATTGAATCCTTCATTAGTAAATTTGCAGATGATACTAAGCTGGGAGCTTGTGTTGATCTGTTGGAAGGAAGGAGGGCTTT